ATAAGCTAAGCTACGTATAATTTTTCCTGAGGGACTTAGATTCCCTAGGTTGTCTAAACTCACGTCTAAGGGACTTAGTGTATCACAGAGAGGAACCAAACTCAAGTAATATTCCTAAGAGGCGCGACAAATATCCATCCTGAGAGACTTGATCACAAGTCTTACCTGAGAGATCGATAGGAGTACTACTCAATAGGTTAAGCCACCTCTCCCGAGGGACTTATAGTTTTATCATCTAGACTATATATAATTTTTTCTAAGGGATTTAAAACACCCTAGACTATCTAAAATCTCGCCTCAGGGACTTAGTGTCTCATAGGGTGGGACCAAACTCAAGTAACACGCCTGAGAAGCGTGACAAATATCCAGCCTGAGAGACTTGATGACAAGTCTTGCCTGAGGGATCGATGGAAGTCCCACCCAATAGGTTAAAACGCCTTGCCTAAGTACTTATATTCTCATCAGCTGAGCTATGTATAACTTTGATTGAGTGACTTATAGTTTCATAATCCAGGCTATGTATAATTTTTCTTGAGGGACTTAGACTCCGTAGTCTATCTAAACTCTTACTTGAGGGACTTGGTATCTCCTTGGGCGGGACCAAACTCAAGTAACACGCCTGAGAGGTACGACGAATATACATTCTAAGAGACTTGATCACAAGTATTTCCTGAGGGCTCGATGGAATTCCTGCATAATATTTTTAAAATGCCTCACCCAAGGGACTTATATTCAATAACCGAGCTAGATACAATTTCACCTGAGGGACTTAGACTCCCTAGGCAATCTAAATTCTCGCCTGATGGATTTAGTGTCTCCTCAGGCTGGATCAAACTCAAGTAAAACGCCTAAGAGGCGCAATAGATATCCAACATGAGATACTTGATCACTAGTCTTACTCGAGGATTCGATGGAAGTCCCGCCCGATAGGTTAAAATGCACATGAGGGACTTTTATATTCTTATCAATCGGGCTATGTATAAATTCACCTGAGGGACTTATATTCTCATTAGTAGGGTATTGTATAATTTTACCTAAGGGACTTAGACTCCCTTGGCTATCTGAACTCTCGCCCGAGGAACTTTGATCTCTTGGGATGATAAAAAGTTCATCTAAATGTATCCTCAAAAGGGTTCGGGTCTTCATGATACTCCTTTGGGGCTCGTTCTTAAAAGCACTTCGTATTACATCAAAGGCCTCGTGCTTGAGGGACTATGAATGTTATATTTGTGTGTAGGGGGGGAGGAACTCTCCAAGGACAATATCTAGAGGGATCCCAAGGAGAGGAGATGTTAAGAATGTCGCCCAAGAGGAGGTATCTCCTGGCCCCCAAGGTCTTCCTATCGCCTAGTAGTGAGAAACATGGGAAAAGATATTTCTGGGGCAAAGAGAAGCTAGGGCCATCAACTGACCATGAATTCCTTGAAAATAGGAATTCAATGGTCCACCATTGGCATAGTGGACAGTGATTGCTCCTTAGAGAACCCTAAGCCCTAAAGACCTATATAAATACCTCTCCCATAACGGGAGAAAATAAATTTTATATTACACCCTAAAGCATAATGCTTAGCAAAATCATAACTCATAAGATCACACCCCTAAGAAACTTATACCTAATCACATCATCCATCAACATGGACTCTCACCTCACGTGAGCAGGATCCCCAAAACCACCGTGAAACACCACCACACCGGGTTTCTCGCCGTCATGGGCAAACCCTAACCACCTTATAATTTTTATAAACCTACTAAGGCCTCCGAGTGCCCCTGCGAAGAGGAACACATAACATGTAATTTTTTTACCAGTAAATTAACTTAAACATATTTTCTTATTATTCGTTCAATCACTTTTCGCCACAAACTCATGGAATGACTCATAACTTTAATCCTCCTATAGTTTTCATAATTTTATATATCTTTCTTGTTTCTATAAATTGGAATTAAAGTTTTTTTCCTCTATTCATTCTTCATTTCCTTTCACCTTATAATTTTATTAAATAGTTTGGTGAACCACTTAATGTCTTTATTACCAAGAATTTTCCACACTTCAATATGTATGTTGTCAGGTCTATTTTCCTTGGTAATACTCATCATTTTCAACACTTATTTTATCTCATGTTTTTTAATCCAATGATATTATTTATAGTTTCAAACCTCTTCTCTAATTTCTAGCTGTTACAATATGGTAATATCTCACATCTTCCATTAAATAAATTTTAGAATTACTTCTTCAATCTATCATTTATATATTTTTCTTGAACTAAAACTTTTTCTTCTTCATATTTAACACATTTCACTTAATTCAAGTCTCTCTCTCTCTCTCTCTCTCACACACACACACACACACACACACACACACACACACACGCACACACATGCGCATACACACATAACACACACACACACACACACACACACACACACACACACAAACGTACGCGTACACACGTACACACACACACATATAATTTTGTCCCTCCCTAGTTCCTAATGACTAATACAATCTATTAAAAGCTTAAGTTCTTGATTCTCTCACCGCCTTTTTGGATTCTTTTTTAGCTTTCTAATTTTTTTTTCAAGTTTTAATATTTTTCACCTATACTAAACTTTAAAACATTCCCTTTCGACTCGAACTTTACTTAGAACATTTTCGTTCCACTACCACGCTCTTTACCCTTAGGTACAAAACCTATTGATTCTCACAATATATTTTTGCTTCTTTTCTAATCCCATATGCCTTCTTCTTTCTCATATCATTTACACATCCTTATAGCTTCACAAAATTTCCCTCATTGTTGGAAAACCTTTTATTTATCACCCTCCAAATTCCTCCACTTGATCCGCAGATCCCCCTATGGCTTCTTGTCTTCTTTATCTCCATTTTAATTTTATATCCATAATCAATATTCTATGTTTGGTAGTCAAACTCTGTCTATGTATAAGTTTATAATCCAAACAAATCTTTCTATCTAATTTTCTAATAAGAAAAAATATATTTGAGAACATGTCACTCCACTCTTGTATGTGATAAGATGCTATTAACTATAGTAACTATAGTAAGATTAAAATCCTATTAAAAAATATATAGAATAATTTATCCTCTGCACATACCTCCCCGAGGGCATAGGCCTCATGCACTCCCTTGAAACTTCTCGATACTCCCTTGAAACTTCTCGATACGCTCCCTACAAGCATATTTAGTCATTCTAATTTTCTCTCTTTTAGGTATATCTTTAAATAAGTCTTTTAATTTCTCTCAAAAATGTACTTAAGGGTGTTCTACTAACCCAATCTTGTTAGTGTTTGTTGAAAATATATATGTTAAAGAAGTCTCACATTGCTTAGTTTTGTAAAGAAAGAGTGAGTTTGAGGCTATATAATGGATTCAAATCTTTCATTACTAAATACACCAACCAAAAAAACATTAAGCTTATATTTGACATTTTTTTATCCTCTTATAATTTTGTGTTAAAGTGTTGCGACGTAGTTAAATATTTGTTTTATGGAGTGTGGGTCTATTGAGAACCTCATAATGGTTGTGGATAAATTATATGTTGGGACAATTTTCATGTAGTGTTATTTTCTGGTTGTCATTTGACAATGACTGTAATTTTTTTCTTTTTGATTTTAAAATTTCCACGTTATGTCTTGTGTTGTGATTGTGTCTTCAACTTTTCTCTATGTTGGATTTTCCTGATAAATTTGTGGTGCTTAAATATAATAACATTAACAATATTTTGTTCTAATATAAAACTTAAGGTTATGATTCGACTTTCTATCATTTTTACATTTATAATATTTTACTTCCACTCCTTGTCAACAATAATTCTCATCCCATTTACTGTTTAACTTTGTTGGTGTATCACACCTTAAATTTTGAGTTGTTTAATTTTTTTCACCCCAATTTTATGTTCACTTTATTTCTGGCAGGCAATAGGCACAAAAGATTGAAATTCTTTTTAACCATAGTGACCACTATATCAATATATTTTATTGCAAGAGTATATTCAATGTTCTAAAAAAAATTATACTTTCACGAACTAACTTCTTTACTTACATTTTTTCACGATAGGCATGACAATAAGGCGGAGCAAATTTAAGCATTACCAACTCCTCTTCTATTTACCACCTTGCCTCGGTAATTAAAAATTAGACTTTTTCCGCACTCATACCTAGTTAAATCAGTTTCCTCCATTAGATTCGGGGCTGGGCAGACATATCTGACTGGTTCAGATTTTTTTGCCATACCTAATTCACGAAAATGTAAGAATCTTGCTTATTTTTCACTGTATTCAATCAACGATGCAACAGCCCTTTATTCATTTGACATTTTACTCAAACTATACAAACTGATCTTATGTGCAACAACTAGCATTCACATCATTACATATTTAATTTATATCATAGAGATTCGTCAAAATTTTACATTGATTGTCAACTGTCTAGCACAATACTCTTCTTTTACATTTGTCAAAATTTTACGTTTGATTGTCGTCTGTCTAACACAATACTCTCCTCTTACATGGACTTGAGACCCGCTATATATAACAAAGGTAAGATTGAGATGATTATCCTTTTGTTTAAACTAACTAAATTTAAAAGATCCAATGAAAGGTCTTTTAAGTACAAATATATAACACTTTAACATGTATGCAAACACATTAAACCACCATAGATATGAAAAGAAAGATGTACTATCTTAGATTCTATAGAAAGTCACTGCACTGCATCATATATAAGCCAAGAAAAGAAAATGTTTCCTTACAATTTCTGCAAACTTCACACAATCTGTACTCCAACATATCAAATCTCTAGTTCCACATACTTTCAGTAATTTTGCTTGGTTCATAGTTACATTCATTCATAGAGGCAAACATGTAGCAATTGGCTGCTATATAATAAACAGGTGCCCAAAAATAAAATAATAACTCAAAAAAAAATCCTGAAACCTTCACAAACCATATAAATTCATAATTCCATGTTTCTGTTTGTTACAATAATCATGGTTCTTTATTCTCTTCCATCTCAGGTTTCGAATCCTTCTCTTCTGAGATGAAGTCTGAACTTCCTTCAGCAGCTGATACGAATATCTCATCGTTATTTCCAACAGCAAGAGGGTTCTTAAACAGTTCATTATTCTCCAACTGCGAAACCTTCTCTTTCGACTCACCCTTCAGAAGATCCACCACCTCGAGCATCGTTGGTCTCTTCTCCGGTTGACTCTGAGCACATACTAAAGCAACTAATACAACCCTTTTAAGCTCTTCTTCAGAATAGTCACCGTTAAGTCTCGGATCCGCCAGTTCACTAAATTTCTTCTCACAAGCTAACGGTAGTGCCCAATCATTTATCGATCGTTTCATTGAGGAACTTAGTTTTTCAAGTGGTTTTTTTCCGCTAGCGAGTTCTAGAAGGAGAATACCAAAACTGTAGACGTCACAGCTCTCGTTTGCTTTGCCTAACATAGCATACTCTGGCGCAAGGTAGCCAAGGGTGCCTTTAACTCGTGTAGTCACGTGCGTTGCTCCGTCGGGGATCAACTTGGCAAAACCAAAATCAGCAACACGGGCTTGGAAATCTGAATCCAGCAACACGTTGCTTGCTTTGACGTCTCTATGGATGATATGCGGTGTTGCTTGGACGTGAAGATATCTGAAAGCGATTATATTTTAGTGTTTCAAAAAATGACAGATATGCGTACGCTACTATGGGAAGGCGGGAAAGTACTCACAAAATTCCCTCGGCAGACCCGATTGCAATATTCATCCGCCGATTCCAATCAAGGAGGCTTTCTGTTGAGTGCTGTCCGTGAAGATGAGAGAGTAGGCTCAAATTCGGCATATAGTCGTATACAATAAGCCGTTCCTGGCCTTCAGCACAATAGCCACGTAGACTAAGAAGATTCTTGTGCCGTACTCTTGCCAATATCTCAACTTCAACAGCAAATTCCATGTCGGCTTTGTTGCTCCAAACTTTCAATCTTTTCACTGCAATCTGCACAAGAATAACGATAAACCAGAGGCGATTTGTGATCAAACAGAAAAGAAGATAAAAGTGTTACTTGTGATCCATCCCAAAGCTGGCCCCAATACACACTTCCAAACCCTCCTTCGCCAAGCTTGTTATCATAGTTGAAATTATTCGTAGCTGAGTGTAATTCCTTCAAAGAAAACACCCGCCATGGAGGTTGCTTCTTCCCACGTCCGCTTCTGCATCGATAGAGATCTCTAATATCAATCATGCATTTCAAAAACAAATCTAAAACTAATATACTGATTTCAGCTAAGGGTAACGAGTTGAAGAACCTAATTCGAGCTTCGCATAACAAAAAAACACTAACATCACAAACTAATATACTAACATTTGTCGATAAAAAAGGCAAATCTAAAACCAGTACTTTCTAGCATCTCCACTTTAGGTACAAATATGTTATCAATCAAACCTATGATACATAGATACCGGTGCGGTACCAGGTACTAGTATGGTAAAGTTAAAAAAAATCAAGATACGGATACGTTAATAAAAATATGATACGGATACGTTAATAAAAATATGATACGAAATTGATACGGTACCGCGCATCGACCTTTCCTTTTACAAAGTACTCATGCTCAGAAAGAGACCTAATTTTCCTTGAGAGTTTACATACCAAACTAACCCTTAATTAACTTCTTGCAGTAAAAGCAGTTTGACAAAAGCTTGAAATTTGAACAAAACCCAGAATCTAATTACTCTATTGACTCTAGATTTTCCTCAATAAAAAAAATTAGAGTAAAACTGAAACTGATTTACGACAAAAATCTGTTACTTAAGGGTTTGAAATCTGAAACTGATCCAAATCAATAATAACGATATTCAACTAAACATAACACATAAGAAAGAAACAAATTAAAATCAAAGATCAATTAAGCATTTTCCATACCGATCCGAAGCAATTCCGCAACAAAAAACCTTGAAAAAAGCCATAACTTCACAGTTCAACCAATCAATCACCCCCAAATCCTCTTCTGTCTATACAAAATCAAAACTTGAAACGGACCCACCAAGCCAAATCAAACGTTTAACTCAAAAAGATGTTACTTTGTGAGTTTTTGTCTTTGCTAGTTGATTTCAGCTAGAAAAAGTTAGGACCGAAACTGAAAACACTGTTAAAGACAACCTAGTACTGTTGGTAACTGAAAATTACGACACAAAAACGGGTAAAAGAAGTTGGTTACAGTTGTTGATGAGATGCTGTGTTTGTATGGTAAGTTTTGTTCTGTAACACATATACAGCTGTTTGCACATTTCCAAAACAAACAAGAAAACACATATGGCCTCCATTATTCTTATTATATTTACTCAAAACAAATATCTCATTTTTTATTTTATTTTGCTCTTTATTTTTTAAAATATTTATGATTCTTCGATTTCATTGTTTTTTTTTATAATTTAACTTTACTTTATTATTATTGTCATTTGATTGAATATAATAATTATGTAAAATAAAATGTATTTTAATTAAGTCAAAATAGTTAATAAATTAATTAGATGAAAAATAAGTGAATCAAATAAACTAAAATTTAAATTATTGTATAGATAAAAATGAAAGAAAAAATTAAAATTATATGTATGTGTATTTTTATTTACATTGAATTTTTTTTTGTAAATATTAAATAGTATAAGTTTTATATTTTCTTAGAAAAAATTAGAGAAAAGAAAATTACTACTAACAGCGGTGACAATAATAATTATCCTACAACTATATCTTACATGCAATTTGGTTTAAACTATATTTTTGAAATTATAAAGTTAGACTCTTGCTATTAGGATGACAACTTGGATATATTTTACGTCTAGAATTTGTATTGAAAAATTTATATCATTTTTTTCTTAAGATAGGTGGGTTTTGATATTATAAAGGTTGACATTATACATTTTAAAGTTTTGGATAGAACAATTATAAAGATTAATCCATTAAGTCATATAAAATTAAAATGAGTTATAAAGTCAGAAAATTTAATACTATTGCATATTAAAAATTATATTTGAACTCTAAACTTTTGATTTAGTCGGAAGAGATTTTTTACTATCTTATTTAAATATTGTTGACTGATTATTTAAATAGTATTGACTGATTGTGTAACAATTTTGTCCATAGTATATTAGACAACTATATATATTATTAATATTTTTTTTTCAAATTATATTATATTATTATTTTTAAAGATAAAATTGTTATATTTTTATCAAAATTAAAATAAGTTATGGTTGAGATAAATCCTTAGTTTTATATTTCTGAAAGAAAGAAATTCTATTTTTGTTTTTTTAAACGAGTTTTAGAAAATAAAGATTTTGAATTTGATTATAGATGGATTAAGTTAATTTTTGGATAAAAGGTTTGTGAGACACAGTACTACATTTTCATAGTTTAGATCGTCAAAATAGAGTATGAGCATAGAGATATCGCATTTGCACTTCATCAAGATTTTGAGAATTCTTCTTGATATTTTTACATATCAACGTGCTTTGAAGTGCAACGTAAGATATCATATTAGTAGGAGGTGCAAGTTGTAATCTTATGTGGTCTTGCTTTAAAAAAATTGTTCTAGACTAGACCCAGGCTTAACCGGGCCGACCCAGCCCATCGATATTTGGGGAAGGTTCAAACAGACCCAAATTGCCAATGTCGAGCACAGGTGCTCCCGCCGACCAGAACGCTCCATCCGTCGGGCAGAACAACATGTCCTCCACACGTTCTCCACGTGTTCCCTCCAGGGAGACACGTCATCAGACAACTACCCACTTCCGAAAGAGTTGGTCAGTCCACCTTCCGGAGATCACGAGACGGTTGAACTAGGGCGAATACCACGTGCTGACCTTCACTACACCACGTAACCCCTAGCAGTCCCTTAGGTTGGGTCTGGCAATCCAGCCTAACACAAGTGACTGTTGGCCCTGTGCTGAGGTCTCACTATAAATACCCTATTTCACTAGAGGGTCAGGTACTCTCTTCTTAACCTCTCTTCTGTATTTGCTCCACTCTGCTCCATTACTTACTTTGGCATCAGAGTGTCTTGTACACCCCCTCCTCTTTCATATTTCTGGTGAACAGCTAGCAGATCAACGACGCAGGCAGGTCATTGATCCCCTTCTGATCAGGTCAGATCAAAAATCTTAATAAAATATTCCTAATTTAATTTCGGTCAAGACTTTTGATCCAATTTTGAAGACATTCAAGCAAGTTTTAAAGAATACTAATATACATCTAAGTGAATTGCCAATACCTTATTTTAAAAGGAATGTAGTAGCCATAAATATTCCAAAAGACGAATATATTTATGGTCTTAATAGCTACAAAGTTTTTTTTTCATGAAAGGATAATATTCAAGAAATGAGAATTTTTTCTAGCAATTGATGCAATGCATGTAAAGTTAAATGTTCTTTGAAATATTATAGAAAAACCGTCTCTCATGTTTATTGGTGATTCTTTTTCTTTTCATTTTTTTATCTATTGAGGATCTTAGAAGAATTTTTGCAATAAAGTTGTGAATTCTATCTACAAATATTTTTACGTATTCACCTGGACCCCAGACTTCAATATAGATTTGATTAAAAATACTAACATACAATATTATATTAAAATATTTGGTCTTGCTATTGAATATTGGAGACCATAAATTCTTTTTTCAATTGCACGAGATATTGGTGTCCTTCTAACTTTAGATGAGTAACTAGTGGTAATTTTTTTTATAGATATTATGCTATAATTTTGATAGATCTTAATTTGTTAAAATTCTTGACCAAATTTCTTCTTGTTGAAAGGGAGGGTGCACTTTTAATGTTGAAAACCAGTACCAAAAAAACCCTTTAACTATGTTTTTTTTGCCATATTATTGGTCACTCATTAAAATATTGTCATGCAAAAATTGTTGCAAAGTCAAAGAAGAAAAAGATAACAAAGAAGACACTTTATGTTCCAATAAAATCTAATTATATTGGATAGAAAATATTACTACAATAATAGTAGATGAGCTAAAAAAAATACAATTATTATGAAGAAAGAACCGATTGTGTATGAGGCTATACACACAAATTTAGATGATACTAGATGGACTGGTTGAACATATAAATATTCATTTACTAGATATTTATTAAATTTATGCCAAGATGTTGAGAAAAATTATTATCATGAAATAGAAGTGTAAGAAGTCCTCAAGTATCTCAAAAAAGTGAGATTCATAATTTTTAAACGGTTACGAATTTAATTTACTAAGAATCAAGAAAAATCAAACATAGAAACAATAAGGTAATATAATTAATATGCATCCAAATTTTATTCATGAAATGACTACTTTGAAAAACTTGATGAATAAAGATGCTACATATACTAAGCATACGACTCACACAGATAAAAAAAATATATTTTTTTTTATAGAAAAGATCTCTAAGGCAACAAAGAAAAATATATCATAGAGGTTTCACTTCCATAATATTTGATTAAAAAAATAGTAAATTTAAATAATTTGGTAAACTCTCTATTTGTTTTTTGTTTTTTTTTGGTCAAACCTAACCCCTAATTTTTATACCATCTTTTTGTCTTTTTTAAAAAATAATATTAATATTCTCAAATAAACATCTTTTATTAATGTTGTAAAAAATGTAGTGTTTAAAAATAAAATAAAAAATAACATATTAGCTTAATATAATAACTACATTATATTCCAAATTTATATTTATATGTGATTGTGCAACATACAAGATACAAGATTTAGAGAAACTATAATCATGTGAAAGTTGTTGAGTTAAATAGTAGATTCATTCAAGTCTAACATCGGACAATAAAAAAAACATAGAACTGTAATATTATTATAAATATGAAGAGTTAATTTGAATTTATTCACCACAACAAAATGTATTCTTTTGCGTGTATTTGGGATTTGAATAGTTGTGTGTTCAGAGAGAGTTTACAATTTTTTCGTACAAAAATTACAGTTGTTGAGAGGATTTATAATTTTTTCATCAAAAAATTGTAATTGAAAGAGAGTTTAAAATTTTTCTGTCTAAAAATTATAGTCGAGAGAGTGTTTGCAATTTTTATGTCAAAAAATTGTAATTGAGAGAGTTTGTAATTTTTCCGTTCAAATATTGTAGTTGAAAAAGAGTTTGCAATTTTTCCGTTCAAATATTGTAGTTGAGAAAACGTTTGCAATTTTTCCGTTCAAAAATTACAGTTCAGATGGTTTGCAATTTTCTCCTAAAAAATTATAATTTTATGAGAGGGCTTGTAATTTTGTCCTTGTACAGATTGAATAATAAATTTGTTAGTTTTATTTTTGAATTTTTTTCTTTTGGCTTCCATGTACATTTAAATTTGTCTTTTTTGTTGTTAGTTTTCAAAATTTTGGTATCAGGGCTAAGGTTTCAATCAATGGAGAAAGAAAATAACAAAAATTCTAATAAAACGAAAAAGAAGAGTCACAAAATATTTGATCAAGAGAAAAAAAAGACAAAAAGATTGAACATTAATAATTTTACAAATGTTATTAATCATCATAATGATCTTAAATGCTTTGAAAAAGAATTTGATGACAAAATGAAGATGAAGGAGAATTTGTTGGGTCAAATAGTATATTGTACAACATTGTTATAAATATTTTAGGTGTAGTTGTATGTCTAGAGAGGGTTTACAATTTTTTTGTACAAAAATTGTAGTTGTTTAAAGGGTTTGAAATTTTTTCGTCCAAAAATTGTATTAGAAAGAGAGTTGGCAATTTTTCCATCCAAAAATTATAATTGAGAAAACGTTTGTAATTTTTCTGTTCAAAAGTTGTAGTTAAGAGAGTGTTTGCAATTTTTCCGTTAAAAAAAATACAGTTTTGAGGGTTTATAATTTTTTCCTCAAAAACTACCGTGGTATGGGAGGGTTTGTAATTTTGTTCTTCTAAAAATTACAAGTTGATTGTAATAAATTTGTGAGTTTTATT